CCTGCCCCTCTCCTCCTGCCCCCTCTCCCCCTGCGGCCTTCCCCAGCCCCCTCCTTCTGCCCCCTTTCCTCCAGTCCCTCCTGCCCCCTCCCCCCCATCTCCTCCCAGTCCCCTTCTCCCACCCCCCACATACGACGCCATACCTGCATGTGGTTAATGGAGACCCAGCAATCTTCTGGGAAGTCCTGGAGCATTGGGACGAGGAATTGCAGACAGCCGTCCCAGTGACACAGCAACAGCATCATTCCAATTAGATTCACTATCCTCACCACAGCGCTCGCAAGATCATAGGTCATGTGGAAAATCTAAAATGTGCAGTACGAGAAAGGTTTCAAACTGAGTCAGTCACTCGGAAACTGTGACCTTTACTCGTTGATTCAGGGGATACGGTTGTGGGATATCGGTCCACAGTTACCCTGGAGAAAGTGGTGTTGATCTGCCTTCATGGGCTGGTCAGAAATCACAGGACACCAGGTTATATTGAAAACACAAGCTTTCGGAGCCTCGCTCCTTCGTCAGGTGAAGTCCTGTCATGTGGCTTCTGACTTTCTCCCCCCCAAACCCCCACCTTCATCCAACACCGGCATCTCACATCATTAACTCCATGAACCGCTGCAGTCCATGTGCTGTAGGTAGACCCACAATAGCCCTAAGGGAGGGAATTCCAGGATTTTTGACCCTGAAGGATATATTTCCGAGTCGGGATGGTGCGCGGTTTGGTGATGGCGTTCCCATCTATCTGCTGCCTTTGTCCTTCTAGATGATAGCGGTAGTGGGTTTGGAAGGTGCTGTCTGAGGATTTTTGGTGAGTCGCTGCAGTGCATCTTGTAGATGGTACACACTGCTGCGACTGAGCGTCGGTGGTAGAGGGAGTGGGTGTGGTACAAATGGGCTGTTTCGTCCTGGATAGTATCGAGCTTCTCGAGTGTTATTGGAGCTCAAACAATCCAGGGCAAGTGGGGAGTATTCCATCCCACTCCTGACTTGTGTGTTCTGGGTGGTGGGACAGGCTTTGGGGGGTCCAGGAGGTGAGTTACTCGCTGCAGGATTCCTAGTCTGTGACCTGCTGTTGTAACCACAGTGTTTATGTGGTGAGTCCAGTTGAGTTTCTGGTCAATTGTAACCCCCCCCAGGATGTTGATAGGGGGGGTGTTCAGTGATGGTAGCACTCACAGGAGCTGTGGTTAGATTGTCTCTTATGGAGATGGTCATAGCCTGGAGTTTGTGTGGCTCGAATGTTACTCACCACTTGTCAGCCCAAGCCTGGATCTTGTTGCATTTGAACATTGATTACTTCAGTATCTGAGGAGTGGCAAATGGTGCTGAACATTGTACAATCATCAGCAAACATCCCCACTTCTGTCCTTATTGTGATGGTGAGGGGGGAAGGTCATTGATGAAGGTGTCTGGACTTGTTCACATCAGAGTCAGAGACGCTGGGTAAAGGTAAAAAGGCTCAAGGGAAAATGTACAGGGCAATGGGACAAAGTCTTGAGGGAGTGTGGGATCAGGAGAAATAGACTGCATTTCCAAAGAGCTAGTAGGAACAACAGGCCGAATGGACTCCTCCGTGCTTGCTTGTTCTATGGTTCCTTAGAATAGCTGACAATGAGCCAGGGCTAAGTGATTTCAGTCACGTTGTAGACTTGTGCTCATTCTCCAGTAGGACTGAGATGAGGAATAATATCTTCACCCAGAGACTGAGCAGCCTGTGGAATTCACTATCGCCTCAAGCAGACCAGGCCAAAACATCGAATGTTTCCAAGAAAGGGTGAGGTATAGTTCTTAGGACTAAAGGAATCAAAGGGTATGGGGGAGAAAGTGGGAACAGGGGCTCATATTGATCAGCTCGAGGGCCAGAATGGCCTATTCCTGTTTTCAATGTTTCCACAACACTGGCCAAACCAGAGACAGGGAGATGGGAGGAGCTGGGAGGAACAGGAGGAGAATTTGTTTTATCGATGCAGTGAGTTGGGATGTTGTGGAGCGTGCATCCCAGAAGGGAACAGATTCACAGGAACTTCCAAAGAAAAGGTTTTTCGGGGAGGTGAAGTTTGCAGCGAAATGGGGATAAATGAGGGTGAGGGGTGGGCGAAATGATGGGGGGTGGGAGGTGGGGAATGAACTGGAAAGCTCTTCGTCAGGGCCAGCACAGGACAAGTGGCCTCCTCACCCCCCCAACCCCCTCAATGCACCAAAAACCAAGTAGATTGGGAACTTACTTCCTCCCACTGATGGATGTAGCGAATGAGACGGGACAGTCGCAGGAGGCGCAAGAGGCTGAGGATTTTGGCGAAACGTACAATGCGCAACGCCCTGGCAGTCTTGTAGACTTCCGAATCTACCCTGGTCTCCAGGTCCACGATCAGGAAGACGTAGTCGACTGGGATGGAGGAGACAAAGTCGACCAGAAACCAGCTCTTCAAGTATTTCATCTTGATGGTGTGAGGGTCGAGGATGATCTCAGTGTTGTCCTCTACCACAATACCCGTTCGGAAATTCAGCACCAGGTCAATCAGGAAGAAGGTGTCAGACACCACATTGAAGACGATCCATGGGGGGGTGTTCTCGTCTTTGAAGAAGGTGATGCCGACTGGCAGGATGATCAGGTTTCCCACCATCAGCAGCAGCATAGCAAGATCCCAGTAAAACCTGCCCGAAACAAACAGAACGGAATATGCGGCTCAGAGCAGGCCAGCAGCAGTCACCCGAAAGCTGGGGGTCATCGTCAACGCCTGGCATGTACACACTCACTCACTCACACACACTCGCTCACACTCACCCTCACACTCACTCGCTCACACTCACCCTCACACTCACTCACACGAACTCACGCTCATACTCACTTGCTCACTCTCACTCTCACTCACACTCACCTGCTCACGCTTACTTTCACTCCCCCTCATACACTCATACGCCACACACTCACACTCAGTCTCTCTCTCACACACACACAGACACACACACATACACACACACAGACACACACACAGACACACACACACAGAGATACAACCAGTCACACACACAGACACTGACACACACATACACACACAGACACACACACACACACACACATGCACACACACGCTGACACTGACACATGCACACACGCACGCGCGCACACACACACACACATGCACGCACACAGTGACACAGACACATGCACACACGCAGACACACACGCACGCACACACTGACACACGCACACACACAGACACATGCACACACGCAGACACACAC